ATCATCATCTTTATCATAATTATTATCATTATCACTATCATAACTATCATCAACTTTGTTTTATTTTTATAATTATTATAATCATCATTACCGTCATCGCTGTCATGATTATTACGATTAATGTTATTATTTTTATGATCATTATTTTAATTATTATTATAGTTATTATGATTGTTATCGTCTTTTTCATTATTATCATCATTAACTTAATTGTCATCGTAGTTGTTATCATTATTATTATCATCATCTTTATCAGTTTTATCATTATAATCTTTATTATCTTTATTATGATTTTCATAATTATTGTTGTCATAAGTCTCATCATCATCATTATTATTTTTATCTTTGTCATCGTCATCGTCATCGCAATCGCCAACGTCATTGTCGTTGTCGTCGTTGACTTCGTCATTATTATTGATATTGTAATCGTCATCATTATCATCATCATTTTTATTAGTGTTACCACAATCATATTTATAATTATTATCACAATTATTACTATCGTCATTATCACCATTATAATCATGATCTTTCATAACATTATTATGATTATTATTATTTTCAAAAGACTTTCATCATGTTTTTGAGTAGCATAGGCATCCATATTATCTTTATTTCTGCCATTAAAATCACTATTATTCTCATAATTATTAACATCATTGTCATTATAATCATTATTATTATTGATATTATCATGATTATTAACATTATCATCATTATAATCATGTTGTTCACAATTTTCATCATCATTGCAATTATCATTATTATTATTATTATTATTATTATCCTAACCATCATTATTATCACTATAATTGTTATTATCATCATCATTATCATTATTTATACAATCGCAATTCTTATCATTATCATTATTATCATCATGTCATCTCCATCTTTACTATCATTGTCATTGTCATCGTCACCATCATCATTATAATAATCATTACCATCGTTATCGACATTGTCGTCACTATTATTATCATCGTCATNTTGGTGAATTTTTATGAGAGATTTTTGCCTAAAAGAGTTGATTACATAAAGCCTTTATACGATTTAAAAAATAAAGATATTTGGTACTGGAACAATGAGTGTCAAAGAGCTTTTACTTGGATTAAAGAGCAAATAACGTCAGAAAATGTGTTAACTATGTACGATCCGAATAAACAGTTAGTTTTAGCGTGTGACGCAAGTCAATACGGACTGTCAGCGGTGCTCTCGCATCGTTTTGATGATGGCTCAGAAAGGCCTATAGCCTTCGCATCGAAGAAAATACCCAAAAATGAACTTCACAGAGCGATTCTAGATAAAGAGGCTGGAGCAATAATCTTCGGATTTAGAAAATTTTACCAATATTTAGTGGGTAATCGTGTAACTTTAAAGACAGATCACGAGCCTTTGAAATTCATTTTTGGGTCCAACAAAAATTTATCTGTGTTAATTCAAAGCCGCCTGCAAAGATGGGCATACTTTCTTTCGGGTTTTCAGTATGATATAGAAGTAGTTAGATCAAAAGCAAACGGCAACTGCGACGCGTTGTCAAGATTGCCCGTAGACGATGACACTCATGTATTTGAATCTGAGTACACTAGTATGAATTATATCACGGAAGGCTTACCGCACGTTAATTTTAAAAAATTAGCAGGCGAAACAGCGAAAGATCCATTATTAAAGAAAATAGTTTCATGTGTAAAAAATGGATGGCCGTCAAAAATAAATTCTTTGTCAGATGCAGAGAAAATATTTTTTCATAAACGTTCTGAATTGGATTTTGAAAATAACTGTTTAATAAGAGGTTATAGAGTAGTGATACCAGAATCTTTAAAATCAACTTTACTTGGGGAACTGCATGCCACGCATTTAGGCGTGGTCAAAATGAAGAAATTAGCACGGAATTATTTTTGGTGGCCTAAGTTAGACGAAAATATTAATGATATTGCGGGTATATGTAAAATTTGCTTAGAAGCGCGGCCACAAGCTCCAAAAGTATCGCTTACACCTTGGCAATGGCCTGGCAAGCCTTGGTCGAGACTTTATATAGACTTTTTAGGTCCTTTTTACGATAATATGTTTTTAGTCGTTATAGACGCTTACTCCAAGTGGACAGAGATAATAAACATGAAGAAAAACACGCAATCTGTTAAATTAATCTCTGTTTTCAAAAATCTTTTTAGTCGCTTCGGTTTGCCAGATCATATTGTAAGCGATAACGGACCGCAATTTAGAAGTTTAGAATTTCGAGAATTTTTAAAAAGAAACGGTGTGAAACAATCTTTTTCACCACCTTATCATCCGGCAACCAACGGCGCAGCCGAGAACTTTGTAAAAACGTTTAAGGACAAAGTGAGTAAGATTGTGCGTGACAATAAGTCTCTCGATGATGCCATAAATTTGTTTTTATTTGACTATAGGTCGACCGAGCACTGTACGACAGGAAAGTCACCTGCATATCTTATGTACAAAAGAGAGCTTCGGAACAGATTTGATTTGCTGAGACCTACTTTGCAAACAATAGTCGAGGAAAAACAGTTTTCTCAAAAACTTTACAAGTCCAGTAAGCGTAACTGCTTATTCGCTGAAGGAGAAACTGTTTACGCAAAAGATTTTACACGTGGCTCTAAAGGCAATTCAGAAGCAATAGTATTAAAGCAAATCACACCTGTTACCTATGAAGTAGAAATGAAAAACGGTATAATTTGTAAGAGACACGCAAATCAATTAAGTAAGATTAAGTTATCCAACGCTTTAAAAGAAGGGGAGATAAAAGAGTGTGATGAAATTAACTTGCGACGTTCAGTAAGATTGAAAAACAAATCAAATGTTTAACATTAGTGCTGTAATATTTTCATGCACATGTATAATTTTTTTTCCAATTACTTTGTATTATGTTAAAGATAATATTCAATTTAAAACGAGGGGAATTGTAATATATGGTACTGATGGTAGTATTAGTAAAGCGTGACGTAAGCGTTACAATCAACGAAAGTAGGGAAAAAGGTGCTAGTTGATAACGAGTGTAAGTTAGTCGCACCGGAGCCAAGGCCATGTACACTTCTACCTCATGTTATATTAAATAAATTTTGTACTTTTATATTAAGTCAAGTCGTAGTTGATTTCTCATTCATCCTTAATTCCTACAACACTACAATTATTATCTTAATAATCATTATCATCAACATCATTATAATCATAATTATTACCATTATCATAATAATCTCTATTATCATCACAACCATTACCATTATCCTCATTCTTATTGTCATTGAAATTTTTATTGTTATTTTGTACATCATCATTATAGTTGTTGAAAGTATCATAATCATCATCATTACAATCATCATTATCATCATCATCATGATTATCAATATCGTTATCTTCATTATTAGAATTGTCATTTCAATTGCTTTTATTGTTATTATCACTTCTATTATTATTATCATTATAATCATTACCGTTATTGTCATAATAATTGTTATTACTATTATCGTTACCGTTATTATCATTGTTTTTGTCACTTTTGTCCATGTCATTATCATTATCGTCATCATCATCGTTATTATTATCGTCATTATTGTCATCATTACTGTCATTATCATCATTATTATATTAAGTATTATGATTTTCATTTTTTTTTATTGTTGTTGTGACTGATATTATTATAGTTATTATTATCAACATTAACATTATTATAATCATCATCATTATTATCATTATTATCATCATCATTATTATTAATTAAGTCAAGTCGTAGTTGATTTCTCATTCATCCTTAATTCCTACAACACTTCACCTTCACTGTCATTATCATTATCATCAACATCATTATTATCATCTTCATAATTTTATATCACTATCACCATCGTCATAATAATTATTATTATCATCATTATTTTAATCATTATCATAATAATCGTCATCATCATTATTATCGTTGTCGTCGTCATCGCTGTCGTTATTAGTATTGTTATCGTCATTGTCATTGTTATTGTTATCGTCATCGATATCGTTATCGTCATCGTTATCGTCATTGTTGTCATTATCGTCATCATCCTTGGCATTGTTATAGTCGTCATCATCAATGTTATTATTATCGTTATCAACATTGTCATCGTCGTCGCCTCCATCTATGTCATCATTATTATTGTTATCGTCATCGTCATTGTCAACGTCATCGTTATCGTCATTGTTGTCATTATCGTCATCATCCTTGGCATTGTTATCGTCGTCATCATCAATGTTCTTATTATCTTCATCAACATCGTCATCTTTGTCGTCTTTATTAATGTTGTGATTAGTATTGTTAATTTCATTGCCATTGTCATTGTCATCGTCATTGACAACGCAACGTCATCATCATAATTATTATTATGATTGTCATCATCACCGTCAAAGTCGTCGTCATCCATGCCGTCATTATTATTGTTCTCGTCATCGTCATTGTTATCAACATCATTATTATGATCATCATCTTTTCTATGATCATCATTATCATCCTCATCATTATCATTATCGTAATCATAATTATCACCATCTCCATTATTATCCTAATCATAATTATTATCATGATTATTATCGTTATTATCATCATTGTTATTGCCATTATTAACATAATTTTACTTATCACAATTATGATTATCATTATTATCACCATGATCATTATTATTATTATTATTATTATTATTGTCATCATTATAATTATCGTTATAATTATCATCATGGTTATCATGATCATTATCATAATCATTATCATTATTATAAGCATTATTATAACTATCCTCGTCATTATCATGATAATCATTTATATCATCATCACCATCATGATTGTGTTATAATCATTATCGTTTTTATTATTAATATAATCATAATAATCGATATTCTCATCAGTATAATCATGATTATGATTATTACAAGTATTATCATCATTATCGTTACCTCAACCATTATTATAATTATAATTACTATTATCATAATTATCATGATCATCGGTATCATCACTATCATCGGTATCATTATTATCATCATCATAATTATCATCATCAATATTATCATCATGATCATCATTATCATCATCTTGATAACCATTTTTATCATTATCATTATTTTTATAATTATCATTATAATCTTATCATCATCGTTTATATTATAATTTTCATCATCTTTATGATGGTCATAGTCATTAATATCGTCATTGTCATCGTTTTTGTCACTGTCGTCGATGTCGATATCAACATCATTTTTGTCATTGTCATTATCACCGTTATCGTCATCGTCATCGTTGTCCTTATCGTTAGTTTAAATGTCATCGTTGTTGCCGTCGTCGTCGTCGTCATTATTATAATCGTCACTATCATAATCTTTGTTTTTGTCATCATTAACCTTATTTTCATTATTTTATCTATTATTGTCATTATTATTACTATTATAATAATTATCATTATTATCATCATTATCATTATCATTATCATCATAATTATTACCTTTTCATCATTATCATCATTTTTATAATGACTGTTATTATAACCATCATTATCATTGTCATTATGATAACTATTTTTATAATTATCTTCATCCCTATCAGTATGATTATTATAATCTTTCTCATTATTATTCTTATCATCATTATTATTATTGTCATAAGTTATATTATTATCATCATTATCATCAGTATTATCATTGTCATCGTCGTCGTCATCGTCGTTGTCGTCGTTGACCTCGTCATTATTATCGTTATTGTAATCGTCACCATCACTATTATTGTCATTATTATTATCACCACTATCAACATTATTATCATTATCACAATTATTACTCTTGATATTATCATCATAATAATCCTGATCATCATTATCATTATTATTATTATTATTATGATTAAAATTACTNTATTATGATCATCATCATCATCATCATCAACATCATTGTCATTATAATCTTTATTATTATTATTATCATCATGATTATTGACATTATTATTATGATAATTATTTTCTTTACCATTATTTTCATCATTGCAATCATCATTACCATTATCATTGCAATTATCATTGTCATCATTATTATTATCTTTACGATTATCATGATCACTATATTTATCATTTTGATCATCACTATTATTATTAATATCATCGTAATTAGTATTATTATCATTATTATTATCTTGTAGAGTTTATTCTTACTATTATTGTCATCGCCATTGTCATCATCATTATCATTATAATCATTATTATTGTTATCGGCATTGTCATCACCATTTTGTACATCATCATTATAGTTGTTGAAAGTATCATAATCATCATCATTACAATCATCATTATCATCATCATCATGATTATCAATATCGTTATCTTCATTATTAGAATTGTCATTTCAATTGCTTTTATTGTTATTATCACTTCTATTATTATTATCATTATAATCATTACCGTTATTGTCATAATAATTGTTATTACTATTATCGTTACCGTTATTATCATTGTTTTTGTCACTTTTGTCCATGTCATTATCATTATCGTCATCATCATCGTTATTATTATCGTCATTATTGTCATCATTACTGTCATTATCATCATTATTATATTAAGTATTATGATTTTCATTTTTTTTTATTGTTGTTGTGACTGATATTATTATAGTTATTATTATCAACATTAACATTATTATAATCATCATCATTATTATCATTATTATCATCATCATTATTATCANATCATTTTCACTTTTATCATCATCATTTTTACCATTTTCATCTTTATTATCATCATTATCATCATTATTATTATTATTATTGTTATTATTATAACTATTTTCATCATTTGCATCATGTCATCATCATTATTATTATTATCGTCACTATTATTATTCTTGTTTGACTCCTGTCTGGACCACTGTCTTGGCCGGTATTCTTATTGCTCGGTCTTACTAACCAATCGCCCGTTTTGCATTCGGAGAGGTTGGTAGTGTGTGCCGGGTGTGTGGCGCCCTCAGAGTGGTGGGCGCGTTTGAAGTCAGTAGTCTTTGACGAGTCAACACGGCATTACCGTTTCCTTTTTTTTTACGCCTTGTCTTGTCTACATAGTGTTCTTTTACTTGATACTTTTCTGTACCGAATCGAATAAACCGTCTTTTGAAAAGACACAAGGGCGAGTGAAGTTAATTTATCTACCCAACATCTGGTCCTTCGAGCCAGATCGCGCGTTACAGCACCGTGTGGATCGTCTTGGTGCATCGCTGATGATTATTATGTGAGGACATATATGCATTAGCATTAGGGCGTACCTTTTCACCATTGCCTCGGGAGCAATAAGCTCTTGGCAGCAAGTGTTTCTGCGAGGTTGATGATTGCTCGGGTAGCGGCGTGTGCCAGGTGCTGCTGGGTTATGATCTCGTCGAGGTCGTATCACCCATCAACTCGAGAGAGTCCTCTTCATGTAGTGGCCGTGGTCGTCGTGGGCCCACGCCTCATGCAGAGAACTGCGTATGTCGGTTAGGGAATGCCACGGCCGCCATGAGCCCGCGGCGCATACCAGGCTCGCGTCAAGGCACGATGTGTAGGTTATGAACTTCCGCGGCCGCCACGTGCCCGCGCTGCATGCCACTCTGTATTTGTACGCGCCACATACGTTGAACGGAGTATATATCGAACCGTCTGTCGTTTACAGGGACGACCGCACTACGTCTTTGCTCGCGGCGCAGCGATCACTCAGGAACGTCATCGCCCGGTTCTTGCAGACTGCCATTGACACTTAGGATAATCAGTGGACCCCAGGTCTTGTCGAAGCTTGGTTCGAGCTTCTTGACGAGTATTGGCGTGACTTTCTGGCTAACTATGTAGCCCTGCTGGAAGCGGCCACAACCGCCACGGCAGATGCTGTGGGTAACGTCTACGCCTCAGCTGAGACCGACTATAGCTGCACGGTCCCGCATCTACAACCACCGCAGCTGCCTACAGCCGAAGCCGCCTAATTTTCCGACTCTTTCAACCGATCTCACTCAGCGTCGTGGACCAAGACTGCCGTCTATCATCATCCCTCAGTTTTCTGGTCGGCGGGAGGACTGGGAGTCCTTCCGCGACCTGTTCAAAGCCCTGGTTCACAACGAGCCTCAACTGACCGACGTCGAGCGCCTCTACTATTTAAAGTCGCTCGTGCAAGGGGACGCCAAGGCTGCTATCGACACCGTTCAGACTGTTGGCACCAACTACAGCACTGCATGGAGCCTCCTCAAGACGCGGTATGAGCACCGCCGGTTGCTTGTGCACGATCATCTCTCGGCGTTCCGCAGCATCAAACCCATGCGGGAAGAGTCCACTGAAGGTCTACAGACACTGCTGGACACCCTCGAGTGCCACTGAGACCAACTCCGCGCTCTAGGTCGCCCTGTGGACCACTGGGACGATTGGTTCGTCTCACTCACCACCACGAGCTTGGATCCAGCGACTAGACGGGCCTGGGAGGATGATTTGGAGAAGCTTGAGGCATCCAGCCCGGAGCTAGAAGTTAACATAGCCACGTTCACTGTCTTGGCGTCTTTCCTTCGTCGCGAGTGTCGCGCTCTCCGCTCTGTTGAAGCTTCTCGCGAAACACGCGCTCCTGTGCCCTCCAGCTCACGTACTACGGCACCCTCTTCAGCCACCCGGAGCTTCCACACCCTTGCAACTCAAGAAAGCTCGCTTATCTGCCCTATCTGTCATGGTGCTCACTATCTAGGCCACTGCAGCGAGTTCCAGGGCTTAAACGCGACGGCCAAGAAGAACGTCGTGTTCCGCGAAAGGCTCTGCTTCAATTACTGGAAGCGGGTGCATTCCGTCAAAGATTGTCCGTCCAAATCCGTCTGCCAACACTGCCGCGCCACCCACCACAGCCTTCTGAATGACGGGCAGAAGCGTCACGCGGAGTGCCAGAACGATACAACCCCAGCGAAGCACGCCAAGCGCGAGGACAAGGCTCGCTCCAAAGCCGGCGATGGCAACCCAAAGCCTCAACAATGACTAGCGATGCTCCCAACCGCCCTTGTTCAGCTCAGTGGCCACACCGGATGCACAGTAATTGTCAGAGCGCTCCTTGATCCGTGTTCTGACGGTCACCGTAGTGTCAGCGCGAGTGTCCCGCCAATGGACTGGAGGCGCCAATGGAGGCGTCTACCATCAGCCTCTCCGGACTCGGGGGTCATTGCATCGTCCGGTCAATGGCGAGAGCCTCGTGCAGCTCAACCTCGTGCCACGAGACAACACTACTTTGATCACGCTGTCAGCCCTGTGTCTGAAACGCCTCAGGCTCTACACCCCTACAATATCTTTGGATCCATCAGTCTGGCAGCTTTGGGAATCCATTGACCTCGCAGATCCCACCTTCGATCAGCCGAGCGAGGTTGAACTTTTCCTTGGTGCTGACGTCTATCATCGTCTGCTCAAACCCGAGTCCATGCAGCATGGTGAGATCTTTGGTCAGCGCACAGTCGTGGGCTGGGTTCTCACGGGCCGGGCGCCCGGACGCTCATCAAGCTCCGTCCTCTCCTGCTCAACCCTACAAGACAAATCTGCCCCAGCCTGGCATCAGGAACTTGTCTCCCTACTACAACGCTTTTGGGAGCTCGAGGACCTCCCACAGGCACGCCATCAGGTGCCCGCTGACATCGAATGCGAGCGGACTTTCTCCGACCATTGGCGCGACGAGGATGGTCGCTACATAGTGAGGCTTCCCTCGAAGCAGGACGCCCTTCATTTCCTCGGCAACAATCTAGAGAGCGCCCGAGCATCCTTGAGGTCCCTGCAAGCTCACCTTCATCAGAACCCAGATATGGCCATCGAGTCATCTCGATTCATGGACGAGTACGTCGCACTGGGCCATATGAGGCCATTGTCCGATGCTCTGGTCTCCGCGCCGACTCGTCCCGTGTACTACATTCCACACCATGGCATCTGGCAGCGCGGAGATCGGGAATCAAAGCTGCGCGTCGTCTTTAGTGCCTCGCACGCGACCTCGAGTGGCTACAGTCTCAACGATGTCCTGCACACCGGGCCAAGGCTCCAGGCAGCCTTGCCAACAGTCCTGCTACGCTGGCGTTGACATTGCTTCGCGTTCTGCACCGAAGCCTGGATGATGTTTCGCCAAATTCAAGTTAACCCTCAGGACGTTGACCTGCAGCGCATCGTGTGGAGCCCAGACCCAAGCATTCCGCCTACACACTATCAGCTGCTCACAGTCACTTACGGCGTTTCTTGCTCGCCTTACTTGTCACTGCGGGTCATCCAGCAGTTGTGCGAGGATGAAGGCCACAGGTGGCCTGGAGTTGCAACTGCTGCCATGCGTGATCGCTATGCGGATGACATCTTATCCGGCGCTAACAACCTCGATGCCGCACGTGAACTCTGAAACCAGCTTATCTGCCTGTTGCAAGCTGAAGGGTTTCCGTTGAGAAAATATGTAGCAAACGTGCCTGAGCTTTTAGACGACCTCCCAGAAGAAGAGCGCCTTCGCTCAACTTGGCAAGAGCTAGCCACTGATGGTTTTGTAAGTAAACTCGGTGTTAGCTGGGATCCAGCCTCAGACCATTTCCGTCTTACTCCTCGTTCTTGGCTGCTTTCAGGCGCTTCTATGGTCGCCGAGGCCGTCCGTCCAAGCTACGGAGCGACAACGCTACCTGTTTTTTGTCGAGCTGACCAAGAACTCCGGTAAGCACTGCAGCAGGTCAAGCTGGATGGCGAGCTAATCGCTGAGACCCTGGCTAACCAAGGAATCGATTGGCGCTTTTTTCCGCCTGGAGCTCCTTACTTTGGCGGTCTCTGGGAGGCCGGCAATAAGTCCGTCAAGGGACACCTCCGACGTGTCATTAGCAGCCGATACCTCACTTACGAGGAGCTCTTAACAGTGTTAGTAAGCATCGAAATGGTGCTCAATAGTCGACCCTTTGTTTCACTCTCTAGAGAAGCCGATGACCTCGAAGTGCTCACGCCCGGCCATTTCATTACCGGAGCCCCTCTAAACTCTATCATCGAGGCCCCTCCTGCAGAGCAGTGCCCCGACAGGCCTCCAGCAGCGCCCTAAGTGGGCCCTGCCACGCCAAAATTTCGCCATTGGAGGAGTCGTAGCTGTCCTTGATCCTACCCTCCTTTCCGTGGTCAGCTGCTGGTCTCTTGGATGGATCCTCCGTATGCACCCGGGCCATGACAGGCTAGTTCAAGCCACCGTCATCAGAACCTCCACTGGCAAGTACCTTCAGCCAGTCACCAAGCTCACACTCCTGACGGTTAAGACCACGAGTGGGCGTCCTTCATCACCCGTCCATAGTGCTCCAGATGACACGCGTACGGCAAGCGGGACTACTGTTTTGTTCCAGGAACAAGGCAGGTGGGATGTTAAACCCCCATCCAAACCACTGTCTTAGCCAGTATTTAAATTGCCCGGTCTCACCAACCAATCGCCCGTCCTGCATTTAAAAAGGTCTCTAGTGATGGCAGGGTGTGTGGCACCCTCCGAGCGGTGGGGACGTCTGGAGTCAGTCGTCTCTGACAAGTCAACACGGCATTACCGTTTTTTTCTCTCCTACGTATTGGCTCGTCTACACAGTGTTCTTTTACTTGATACTATACTTGTACCGAATTGAATAAATCGACTTTTAAAAAAACGCAAAAGCGAGTAAAGTTGATTCATCCGCCCAACAATCCTTATTATCATTATATTCATTATCATCATGATCATTATCATTATCATTATTATCATTATCATCATCATCATCATCATTATCATAATTATTATTATCATGATTATTTTCATCAACATTATCATTATCATTATTGATATTGTCATCGTTATCGTCATCGTTATCGTCATCGTCATCGTCGTTTTTATCGTTATCGTCATTATTATCGTCGCCATCGTCGTCGCAATTGTCATTATCATCATCATCATCATCATAATAATTATCATTATAATAATTATTAATATCATCGTCATAATCATGATTATCATCATCATTATGGTCATTATTGTCATCATCGTTATCATAATTATCATCATTATCATTGTCAATATTATTATCATCATCATCTTTATCATCATCATCATCATTGTCATTATCATCATTATCATTGCCATGATTATGATCATTATTAAAATTCTTATTATCATTGTCATCATTATTAGTATCATCATCATTAATATTATCATCATCGTCATCGTCATTGTCATTACCATCATAAAAATCATTATGTACATTCTCATCATTATCATCAACCTAATCATGTAAATAATTATCATAACCATTATAACCACCATTATTATACCCACTATCATTATCATTATCACCATAATCCTTATTATCATAATCATCATTATTACTATTATCGTTATCATCATTATTATTATTATTATCATTATTATTATCATCATCACCATTGTCCTTATCATCATAATTATGATAACATCATTATTATCTTTATAATCGTTGTAATCATAATCGTCGTCAACGTCAATGTTGTCATCTACATTGTTATTGTCATCGTCATTGTCACTGTCATCGTCATTGTCATCGTCGTTGTCGTCGTCGTTGTCATCATCGTCATTATTATCATCATCAACATCACTAATATTTTTATTATTATTATCATGATAACAATTATCATTAACATTATTTTCATCATTATCATCATCATGAGTATCACAATCGGCATCATTATTATCATGATTATTATCATCGTCATTATTATTATTTTCATGATCATCATTATCATCATCATCATTATTATCATTATCATCATCATTATCATCATCATAATCATCATCATCATCATCATCATCATCATCATCATCATCATCATCATCATCATCATCATCATCATCATCATCATCATCATCATCATCATCATCATCATCATCATCATCATCATCATCATCATCATCATCATCATCATCATCATCATCATCATCATCATCATCATCATCATCATCATCATCATCATCATCATCATCATCATCATCATCATCATCATCATCATCATCATCATCATCATCATCATCATCATCATCATCATCATCATCATCATCATCATCATCATCATCATCATCATCATCATCATCATCATCATCATCATCATNTGATCAGTATCATCATCATCATTATCATCATTATAAACATTACACATTGTCATTAGTATCATAAGCATTAAAATAACTATAATCCATATCATCGTCATTATCATCGTCATCATCATAATTATTATAATTTTTATCATCATTATTATTATTATTGTTATCACTATAATTATCATCTTCATTATACATTATTATTATCAATATCTGTATCATTAATAATATCATTATAATTATTATTGTCATCATGATTATCATTATTATCATTATCAATATCATTATTATCATCTTCATTATCATCATCATCATTGTCATTATTATCATTATCATTGCCATGATTATTATCATTATTATAATTTTTACTATCATTATTAGTGTCATTATTATCATCATCATAATCATCATTATTATCATTGTTATCATGATCGTTATCATCATCATTATCATCATTATCATCATCATCATTATCATCATCATCATCATTGTTGTTATTATCATCATTACCATCATTATCATCATTATCATCATCATTATAATTATTATTGTCATTTTCATAATCATCATTACTATTATTATTTTTATCATTATAATTATCATTATTATTATCATCATCATTATCATCATCATTATCATAATTTCAAGCATCATTATCATCATCATTATCATTATCATCTCCATCATTATCATATTCATTACTATTATCATCATCATTATGATTGTGATCATCATCATTATTTTTATTATTATTATTATCATTATTATGATTATCATCATTATTATCTTTATTATTATTATCCTCATTATCATCATCATCGTCACCATTATCATCATCATTGTTATCATCATTGTAATTATCATCATCATTTTTATTATCATTATCATTGTTATAATCATTATAATTATCATTTTTATCATTATCCTTATTATTATTATCATTATCATGGTCATAATCATTATTATTATCAATATTACCATCATTATCATCATCATTATTATAATTTCAATCATCATTACCATTATAATTATCATTATCATCATTATTATCATTATCATCATCATCTTTATCATTATTATTATCATTATCACTATCATAACTATCATCATTATAATCATCATTATCATCATCATCATTAACATCATCATCATCATCATAATTATTATCATTATTATAATTTTAAGCATCATTTTCACTATCATTATCATCATCATTATCATTATCATCATTATCGTTATCATCATCATTGGTGTTATCATCCTCATTATTATTATCATCATTATTATCATTATTATTATCATTATTATTATTATTATCATNCGTTGTCGTCATTGTCGTGGTCGTCGTCGTTGTCATTGTCATCATCATCATCATCGGCATCATCATCGTCATTATCATAATCACTAAAGTATGAACAAATTAATGATAACATTCTGCTTTGCTAACTATACAATTAGCACGGTAAATTTATTTATTACAGAACTTTGTTGCCATGTAAGTCAAACGTTTTTTTTGTTATGTCAGTAGACGGCCTTCAAAAATTGTAAACACACAACACATTAAGTTTTTATACTTAATGTATAAAAAAACCAGGACAAAATAACTCTACAATGTTTTTGCTAGTCTATTGGGAGACGCAGACTAAGTCATTGAGTGTAATTATGTCAATAAATGTGTGGATAGAAGAAGCCATAGCATTATTTTAATGGGAAAAAAGTAGTATTCGGTCACAGTGCTAGTGACAAGCGGTAAATATCGTAGCATTTTTTGTTTACACCATCACTATAAATTATTTAAATTACTTCCTCAACTCTTATTTCATCTTTATTGACCTGCAGTCCCTAGCATTTGACTGCACATATTTTCTTTTATCTTGTTACCTGTCACTTAGATGAGAGAATCGTCAAATATTTTTTGTTATTTGCAAATTCTACCTCCCACTACTCGGTAATTTATCCTAGTCGTTACTCATTACAGGGCGCAA